GGGGGGAGGGGACATTAGAGTGTAAGCTCCTCTATACAGAGACTGATGTGACCGGCTCAGTGTCCTCTGTACAGCGCTGTGGTATATGTCGGAGCCATGTGATGGATGTACTCACTTTTCTATACTGACGTCGTATTGGATCTTCACCCTCAGCTGTTGCTCGGTGTGCCGCTTCCAGACGTGATTGGTCCTCTGGTGGACTTGGTATATGACCTGTTATAGAAGAACAGACGTGTGATGGCGGCACGCAGCGCTCCATGATAGTCTGCAGTCAGTGGGGAGGATCGATGTGGTGCCGGGTCATGTATGGAGGGAGTCATCCTACATTTGTGGGTCACATGACGGCGGTGCTCAGCGTATACACAGTGCGTCACATGACTTCGGTGCTCAGCGTATACACAGTGCGTCACATGACTTCGGTGCTCAGCGTATACACAGTGGGTCAGATGACGCCGGTGCTCAGCGTATACACAGTGGGTCAGATGACGCCGGTGCTCAGCGTATACACAGTGGGTCAGATGACGCCGGTGCTCAGCGTATACACAGTGGGTCAGATGACGCCGGTGCTCAGCGTATACAGTGGGTCTCATGACGTCAGTGCTCAGCGTATACAGCGGGTCTCATGACGTCAGTGCTCAGCTTATACAGTGGGTCGCATGACGCCGGTGCTCGGCGTATACACAGTGGGTCGCATGACGCCGGTGCTCGGTGTACACACAGTGGGTCACATGATGTCAGTGCTCGGTGTACACACAGTGGGTCACCTGATGTCAGTGCTCGGTGTACAGACATCGTATACACAGTGGGTCAGATGACGCCGGTGCTCAGCGTATACAGTGGGTCTCATGACGTCAGTGCTCAGCGTATACAGCGGGTCTCATGACGTCAGTGCTCAGCGTATACAGTGGGTCGCATGACGCCGGTGCTCGGCGTATACACAGTGGGTCGCATGACGCCGGTGCTCGGTGTACACACAGTGGGTCACATGATGTCAGTGCTCGGTGTACACACAGTGGGTCACATGATGTCAGTGCTCGGTGTACACACAGTGTGGTCAATATATGTCAGTGTGGTACATGACCTCAGTGTGACTCCTCACCTCCTCAGGCCCCGGTGCTCGGTGTCGGCAGTTGATGGTGGTGGCCGGTGATTGGCAGGCCAGGACGAGCAGGGCCCCCATAGCGAGCAGAGACCCCCCGCCCTGAGCCGCCATCTTTATCCATCTGACCGCTGTCACCCCGGCAACGTGACGTCACACCTCTAAGCTCAGGAGCCGCTTCCGCACCACGTGATAGCAAGGACCGAGCTCTGAGGACATTGATCCGCCTCCTCCGCCATTTTTCCGGAGCTCTGAGCACAATGGCCCGCCTCTTCCGCCATATTGCCTGAGCCTAGGGTGCCCGGAGTGAGCAGGTTGGGTCGGTGTGTGGTTGTTCTGCTGAAGGGGAACTCCACTGACACCACCACCGGTGTTGTCTCGAATTTTGTTCCACCGGCTACATTCACCGTTCTGTGTGGGCCCCACTATACAAAGCATATGGGGTGGGGGAGGATGAGTTCCTGGGTGTTAATTCAGTGTCCCCCCACTTCCGGTGTCTGTGACACCCTAATTATCAGCCATGTCCCCCAACATTTCATAATAAAAAGAGAAGTCAGGGGCCCCTACTAATCCCCAATTACAGAGCCCCAGAAGGGTACTACTGATCCCACCTCACAGAGACCAATGAGGGGCCCCAACAAATGCCCTTTTACAGAGACTAGGGGCCCCACAAATCTCCCATCCGGGCTGTATATGATTTATGGTGCAATGCGCTTCTCTGTGACCCTTGTGACATTATTCAAACGCCTCCTGACCTGCAGATGACCTTTTGAACTACAGGTTACCTTATGACCTGCAGGTTACCTTATGATCTCCTCTTGACCTATAGGTGAGCTTCTGACCTTCTCTTGACCTACAGGTGACCTTCTGAGCTGCTTCTGCATCCGTTCCCTTGTAGGGGGAGAGAAGCGTTGTGAGTTGTACTGAGGGGTCAGCCTCCAGGACACACATAAACCTCGGCACAAAGGTTCAGATCTATACAATGAAACTTCCATTTCTATAGACAGAGAGCGGACACCTTCTAGAAGAACTTCACCAGAACAGACTGAGCAACCAGCAGCTGCTGAGCCAATGAACACCGTCAGCAGGAGTATGTAACCTACAGCACAGCTGACAGAGTGCAGGGGTGTTTAATGTACAGCAGAGAGTGTAGAGTGCAGGGGTCAGGGGTGTGTAAAGTGTGTAACACGCTGGAGGTGAGGAGATTACGGGGGGATATGATTTTCAAGTACAAAATGTTCAATGGTGACAGCAACATTGGTAACAAACTCTTTAAGATTAACTCAGTTACAAAGACTAGAGGCCACCACCGAAAATTAGTGGAAAACAAATTCCAGCACAAGGGGCGAAGAGGGTTCTTCACGGTAAGAGCGGTAGGAGTCTGGAACTCACTGCCACAGGCCGTCATCTCAGCCAAGAGTGTAGATTTGTTCAAGAAACTCTTGGATGATTTCTTGAGGGACCGTAATATCCGGGGGTACAGGTACTCCTAAGAAAGAGATGATGCGCGGACTTATATGGGTTGGACTTGTGTCTTTATTCAACCCAAAATGATATGTAACTATGTAATGCAGTGGCGTCACAAGGGGGGTGCGGCCCGCACCTGGGTGTCACTTCACTCTGAAAAGTCGGGCGCTCGGTCACGGACCGAACGCCCGACAGTATCAGGAGTGAGAGGAGGGGACCCGGCGGCGTACCTCATCCCGCCGGGTGACTGTCCCCTTCCTCTCTCTGCCGGCGTCCATCACCAAGATGGCCGCCGTCAGGTATCGGAATACTGCCGCGCGTGGTGACGCCACCACGGGTGACACTCGGTTACCGCTCTGAGTGTCACCCAACCTCGGGACGCCCCTGGTGTAATGTATAACATAATGCATGTAGATCAGATTTATACAATGAAACTTCCATTTTTATTTACAGAAGAACTTCACTAAAACAGACGAGGAACACTGTGATGTGTGTGTGATATGTGTGTGTGTGATATGTGTGTGTGATGTGTGTGTGTGATGTGAGTGTGTGATATATGTGAGTGTGTGATGTGAGTGTGTGATATATGTGTGTATGTGACGTGAGTGGGTGATATATGTAGAGCTGCAGCTAACGATTATTTTCAAAATCGATTAGTTAGCCGATTATTAAGTTCGATTAATCGGTTAATCGGATAAACAATAAAATACATTTTAAAAAATGGCTCCAGTGATGGACTACTAGTTTGTGAGTGTGAGACGGGGAGGAGGTGCGGCGTGAAGAGCGTGGATGCTGGCGGGTCTGGCAGCGGCGAGTGAGGTGGGGAGGAGGTGCGGCGCGCAGCGTGTGTGGAGTCATGAATGGGACCAACTGATCGGAAGCCGATTAATCGATTATTGAAAAAGTTGACAACTTTTTCAATAATCGATTATAATCGATTATGTCGATTAGTTGTTGCAGCCCTAGATATATGTGAGTGGGTGATATATGTGTGTGATATGTGTGCCTGTGATATGTGTGTGTGTGTGATATGTGTGCCTGTGATATGTGTGTGTGTGTGGTATGTGTGCCTGTGATATGTGTGCCTGTGATATGTGTGTGTGTGCCTGTGATATGTGTGTGTGTGTGGTATGTGTGCCTGTGATATGTGTGTGTGATATGTGTGTCTGTGATATGTGTGCCTGTGATATGTGTGTGTGATGTGATATGTGTGTGTGCGATGTGAGTGTGTAATATATGTGAGTGTGTGATGTGTGTGTGTGATATATGTGTGTGTGTGATATATGTGTGTGTGTGATGTGAGTGTGTGATATATGTGTGTGCCTGTGATATGTGTGTGTGATATGTGTGATGTGATATGTGTGTGTGTGATGTGATATGTGTGTGATGTGATATGTGTGTGATATATGTGTGTGTGTGATGTGAGTGTGTGATATATATGTGTGTGTGTGTGTGATGTGTGTGTGTGATGTGATATGTGTGTGATGTGGTATGTGTGTGTTATATGTGTGTGTGTGATGTGAGTGTGTGATATATATGTGTGTGTGTGTGTGATGTGTGTGTGTGATGTGTGCCTGTGATGTGTGTGTGTGTGTGTGTGATGTGTGTGTGTGATGTGTGCCTGTGATATGTGTGTGTGATGTGATGTGTGATATGTGTGATGTGATATGTGTGTGTGATGTGATATGTGTGTGTGATGTATGTGTGTGATATGTGTGCCTGTGATATGTGTGTGTGTGTGATATGTGTGCCAGTGATATGTGTGTGTGTGATGTGATATATGTGTGTGTATGATGTGAGTGTGTGATATGTGTGTATGTGATGTGATATGTGTGTGTGTGTGATGTGAGTGTGTGATATGTGTGTGATGTGATATAGGTGTGTGTGTGTGATGTGATATGTATGTGTGTGTGATATGTGTGTGTGTGTGATATGTGTGTGTGTGATGTGATATGTGTGTGTGTGTGATGTGAGTGTGTGATATGTGTGTGTGTATGATGTGAGTGTGTGATATGTATGTGTGTGTGATATGTGTGTGTGTGATGTGATATGTATGTGTGTGTGATGGGATATGTATGTGATATGTATGTGTGTGTGATATGTGTGTGCGTGTGTGTGTGATATGTGTGTGTGTGTGTGTGATATGTGTGTGTGTGTGATATGTGTGTGCGTGTGTGTGTGATATGTGTGTGCGTGTGTGTGTGATATGTGTGTGTGTGTGTGATATGTGTGTGTGTGTGATATGTGTGTGTGTGTGATATGTGTGTGTGATATGTGTGTGTGATATGTGTGTGTGTGTGTGTGTGTGATATGTGTGTGTGTGATATGTGTGTGTGATATGTGTGTGTGTGTGTGATGTGTGTGTGTGTGATATGTGTGCCTGTGATATGTATGTGTGTTTGTATCTGTGAGTGTGTAAATGGTTGAATATGTGCGTTTCCCTGTGTTGCGGTGTGAGGCGGTGATGCTGGACGTTTTTTAAACCTCGCATTAAAACACAATACTAATCTGATTTTGGGTGATGGCACTTTGAGATAAATAAATGTGATTTTGCGTCGCAGTTTGGACACTCGGGCTTCTCCATCACTGGTCTGGGTCATCCTCCGGCCATACAGACATGAACGCAATACAGGACACGGTGTCACTGAACAATTCTAGGTTTATTGAAAGCCTAACATTCACTTTGTGATACAAAATGTTGTGCAAAGAGTTCATCAGAGAATACAATG